AACTATGTTGTTTAGACAATGGTGTCGTAAACCATGGGTAATTTTTGTCGTTGACTGACATGAGTATAGAAATTACTAACAAAAGCGAAGGAATGTACAAATGTTTCTACCTAATATGGAACTCCTTAGCATTGATTGTAGGTAAAAAAAAAATAGACGGTTCAGGTTTATCCCAGAATAGTATTATCAGCTGAACTATGTCAGTGAACTATTATTTCATTCTCATTAGATAATCTAAGTACTAAGGATTTCTGTGTACGTGTGAAGTAAAAATCATTTGCTTTTTTTGTGCAGGATTATTCTTAAACTACTAACAAATTCGACATTAAATAAAGAAAGCTTAATTCATAGGCTACTCAGTTATCATCCAACGATTTACGTTTTTAAATTCAAGTTCGTAAAGTACATGATCATTATCTATTTGATACCGGTCTCACATCCAACATGGTTGAACTCCGTTTTTCATAAATACCCGTTGGAACTCATCGCGTTGACTTTCAGTTTTACTCATTACAAAATTCGGCAATTTTCACACCCTTCTCCGTAAGAGGAGAAGAACGTGAAAGGGAACGAAACAAAATCTCAATATCCAGAACCTCTAAATATTTGTACCTTGATCCTTTGGAAGTGTAGAAGTATGTAAAGCAAAAATTTTTTAGGGCATCTATGGAGCTCCATAAACGCTTATATTCGTGCACAAACCAAAAGACTAATAGAAGAAGAAACCTTCCAACATTTTGGGGTAACAGTAGCATTATGGTAAAGATCAGGTATTCTCGAACTACTTTAACAATGTATTTACCGTAGAGATGCCTTCAACTTCAGTTCATACACACTAGACACTGTAACCACTAAATAATTCGAAGTTTTTGACCTAATAAATGAGTTTGGTACAGACAAATCCGTAAAGCCCGATGAAAGGCATCCTAGGTTATTAAAAGAATTAGAAAATTTTGTAACGAATACCTTAAGCATATGTTTCAATCTATTTGTAACCCGAAGTCGTTACAAAAAGAGTGGAAGGATGACATAGTAAAACCTATCTTCAAAACAGGTACGAGACATAAGCTTGAGAAATATCGACCCGTAAGTTTAACCAGAATAGTTGTTAAAATATTGGAAATGACTATTCGGAAGGATGTTGTTCCTCCTGTTTGTAAAAGACCCTCCTAGTCTCCTATCACCATCGGTTTTGTTATTTGCTGACGATGTCAAGATATGGAGAACAATAAGAATTAAAGGTGATATATTAAAACTTCAAAATGACTTGGAGAAATTATATGAATGTTTTACAATTTGGCAGTTGGCGATAAAGGATTCTATGTGAATTGTGATGCATATTAGTCACCAAGGTACATATACATACACTTTGAATAACAATGCGCTACCTGGTGTGCAGACACAAGACGACTAGGGAGTCATCATTAGCCGAGATTTTAAATCTACTGCACACTGGCGTGCTGTAGCCGCCAAAGTTTTTAGAACTCCGTTGTCAATACGTAGAGCCTTTAGTCATGTCGATGCTAAAACCCTTTTGATTTCGTATACAGTATTCGTGCAAGCTGCTAAACCCCGCGTAAAAGGAAACAGTGAGCTGTTGGGAAAGGTTCAGAGAACCATAGATAAGTTGATTCTCGATTTAGCAAAAGCTACCACATGATGCTCGACTGCCTAAACTAAACCCATTTTCAATGTCCTATAGAAGAACCGACTTTAGATTACTTATTGATAAATTTGCATCTGATATACCTTCACGTTTCATGTTTCGCAGAACAGAAAATTTACGAGAACACTCACAAAAACTTTGCAAGCCCAGAACAAATTACTTGTTAGCTGATTATCGATTTTCCCATCGATTCAATAATGAGTGGGACTCATTACTTCAACAAGTTGCTGAAACTCCATCTATCGATGCTATCAAAAGAAAGTTTCATCAACTGAGAGACCACGATTGTTAGGATCAACACAGGCCACCTAGCCTCCTGTCCTTTCCATACTAAAACTGTACTGTTTTAATACATTACAAATTTAGTTCCTGATTTTGCATAATGAAATAAATTAGTTAACTCTCAATAAGTTTTTGTTCATTACATTTATACAGCTCAACAGTATCTTGATTAAAGCCGTTATTCACTGATAACAATACATATACGTTTTACAGTATAACAAGTAGAACTTTAAACAATTAGTTATCAGTTCATAAGCTTAATAACAGCCAGCTCTTTTTAAAGTCTGAATGTTCTATATTCAGTACATACACACTCTCATTCCAGATATTATCATAACAGTCAGTAACATTATTTAATAATCTCTGTTTTTCAATATTTTTCCAGTTAAGAAAACACGTTGATAAAGTGCCACGCATCAGTTTTAACGATTAGATGATTAAACATATTTAGTACGGTGGAGAAGATTTGTAGCTCAAGTGGATGATTTTGATGGAGTTTTGTTCTCCGAGCTGGATGGTTTGGTTGTAGAGCTTTCATCGTTCTTCTGAACGACATCATCAGCACAAATTTAAGTTCAGTAAGAACCAACTTAACGTCGAGGTGTACAGAAAAAGCTGTGAAATGCACATGGAGAAATTTGAACACTTCACTTCTATTTGAAGTTTGTGCTGATGATGTCGTCCAGAAGAAGAACGATGAAACCTCCACGACCAAACCATCAAGCTCAGAGAACAAAACTCCATCAACATATTTAATACATATTCAATTAAACATCTTTAACATTGAAGAAAAATCCTGAAAATTAAATTATTTAATTAAGGCGGCCTGCTTGAGCATCTGAGCTACCTGTTCCTGCCATCTAGATATTTCAACAAGTTATCTATTTTTGTTTGTTTTAATATATCATTATGTCTATTAATCGCATAACTTATTCTGCTACGTTTCTGAAAAGTGTACAACCTTTCTTTATCAAAGTTACAAAAAACTCAATAAGAGACAATGTGGTTGCTGGCAATGTACAACGAAAAGAATGTACATTATTCAGATGTTCATTTACTGAACTGCTAACATCTAACTGGCGATCACACAATATTTATCGCCAGGACCGACCAAGAAGAAAGAAACGGAAACATGTTGAAATAGTTTGTGCTGAGAATTCTATATTGTACCAAAAATATAATATTGAATAAAGTTAATAATAATAATGATAAGAATTAATAATCACATCATATCAATAATGATTTTTATTGAAAAATATTGATTTTTTAAATATTATAAATCAATAATCTACCAGATCGATTTTGATTTACTCATAGAGACATAAGATCTGACTAAATTTTGATCAATATTTAAATCATTATGGAATTTTATAATTTAATTTTTAAACGACAATTAAATTTATTGATTATTTATCATGAATTGATTGTAGTTAAAATGGAGAATCATATTGTGATTTAAATTGGTAATTTGATATAAACTTAGCGCATAGTTCATATGAATGATTCAATTATTGATTGAGTTTCGATTGATATTATAAATGGATCAATGTGAGATCACTATTGAAAACCATTGAAGCACTGGACAACTGTTTCGTCTTAATGTGTAACATCTCAGAAGTGCGCATCCACGATCTTACACGTAGAACTTGAATCTAATACCTTCGGTCTGATGTGTGTAAACACTTAACTTCCAAACCATTGAGCTGGCATTAAATGGTGTTAATGTCAAACTCCAACCAAACTGGGATATTACACGATCGTACTCCATTGTATTCAGTGAGTAACTGCCTCTACAACAAACACGGTTGAAATCTACAGGTCACAGATTCTCACTAGAATTCCAGGAAATCAATCTTGAAGTTAGTCTACTAGTGAGCGCATGATAATTATCAGTATAGGGTTGTGGAGATTATTGATCCATTAATAATGTCAATTTCACCTGAACAATCTCCACAACCCTATATGTTCTCTGAATTAACAATTTATACTTAATCAAGAATCATCCAACATTTAATCTTTTACACATCAGTGCATTATAAATATATTATAATTATGACAAACTGAGAATGATAAATTTGATAAGAAAAGATGGATAGTGGCTAGCAGTGAAATCGAGGATGCGCGTTTCGTCTTATCTGGATTTCACTGTTAGCCACTATCCATCTTTACCTATAATGCTTGTGAATTAAAGCAATATCGAGGGAATACGCACAGTATGTACATATGCCAATAACAGACTGATCAATTGCAGCGTTAAACTTCAATGGGTAGATTCAAACAAACAAGACCAAGTGAATTGAGAATGATGAAATTTAGTTTTCTCATATTTCATATGGATATAAGACTACTGAAAAGAATAGAGAAACATAATTAAGGATGATAATTCGCAGACATTCACTTCTAGTGTATTGAATAATAAGCTGTAAGTTGTTGGGGTAAATCTAACACTTCGTTCGAATATACCACTTGGACAATTACAAACTTAAGTATAACTCTCTTTTCAATTACTAAACACAAAACTGAATAAAACGTTTTATGAAAGGATGTTTACACATTATTTTTCTTCGAAGAGAGTTGAAGATATAGAACATGGTGAAAGTTAAACAACAAAACCAGTGAAATTTCTAAAATCTTCACAAAACCCCTTTTGATAATAATCATCTGCTCAATAGTGACTGACTTCAAGAGATACTCCTGGAGTTCTAGTGAGAAGCCGTTACCAGTGGAGTTCAACCAGGTCTGTTGTGAGATATCAACTCACTGAAGACAATGGTGTACGGTGGCGCAACTTCGTGGATTGGTTGAAGTTAGACATTAACACCGTTAGATGCCGGCCGGCTCACTCAGTGGTCTAGTTGGTTAAGCACCCGCGTGCGAGACTGATAGATCCTGGGTTCGAATCTCGCGAGGTGCAGGATCGTGGATACGCACAGCTGAGGATTCCCATAGTAGGGCGATTTGGTCGTCCAGTGCTCCCAGGTTTTCCATGGTGGTCTAGCTTCAATTGATTCATGATTTCAACCAGTGAAAACAAAATATATTGCTTACTTACCTTATTACAACCAGATTTTAGAGCTTTATTCATGAGTATTTTTCTTTGATCAGAAGAGCTGTAAAATTGAATGTAATAAGTGGGAAGAATAATAATATATCCAAATATCGAATAGAATGTTAGTACACTAAATAAACGTGTTTAGTTATATTAGGACTATAGTCATTCAAATATCTTTCAGTTTCTCATAATATTTAAGCTTTTAAGCAGTCATTTGGCTAGAAATATCTATTATGTAATGCATGTTGATAATTACTAGGCTGATTTACTTACAATCACAAGGTATAGTCTTGTTTCGCTGGTTGAAATCATGAATCAATTGAAGCTAGACCACCATGGAAAACCTGGGAGCACTGGACGACCAAATCGCCCTACTATGGGAATCCTCAGCTGTGCGTATCCACGATCCCGCACCTCGCGAGATTCAAACCCAGGATCTATCAGTCTCGCATGCGGGTGCTTAACCAACTAGACCACTGAGTGAGCCGACCGGCATCTAATGGTGTTAATGTCTAACTTCAACCAATCTGATAATAATAGTCTTGTTTGTTTGTTTGTTTTGAAGAATAGATGCTGAATCTCTAACTGCTTTAATCAAATTTGTTACCCTTGACAACAGAATGCGAAGAATACTGGCCGTTGTGATGTGTATTCAATAGGACAGGAGAAAAAAAACACCACACTACATTTTGTATTGATTCAGTTTCAAATTCTTTTAATATGATGTGTAATTTTTGTTAAGTATGACAATTATATTTATTGTATCTATTCAGATGAACTATATTCATTGTATATTATGAACAGCAACTTTGTATTTCCACTTATATGTGTTAATGTATAATGTATATAAAATTTAGTAGATAAATGATTCTGTTTTGTTGTCATGATCAATGTGATTTGGAACGTGATTTTAGGACATGTTTGAAAACATGTTATGGAGAGCCAACGTATCTTCATTACATTAGTCATTCATATTCTTACTTTGTGTAGTAGGAATTCCAGTAGTTCCGCTTTTTAAAGTATAAGCAGTAGGATGAAGTAATTGAAGTAGTTAACGATTGTCAAGTATAAGCATTAAAACTGTGAACACAAAAGAATCAATATGTACAAAACTGAGATGGCGTACGACTGAAAGTAACAAAGGTCCACCTCTCACATACAAGAGTATTAGAGCAAATTAGGAGCATCTCATGATATCAAGTGATTAAATTCACTTAAAGGTATCTAGAACGTTGCAAAAGTTTATTCCTCAAGTAAGAGAGGTGGAGAGCCAATATTGTTCACAGTGAAAAGATAGTAAATAGAAGCCAATTGTAGTCACTTTTAATTATCGTAGAATATGAACAAGCAATTGATGGATAACTTTAAATCTATAATCAACAACAAATTTCTCCTTGACCACACCTCACTACATTCAAATTCTGTTGATAAGAAAGAATAATAATGACACCAATAGACAAGCGTTTAGGTGCCTTTCCATTTTGACGCCAATTAGATAGGACAGTGATGTTATTGACAGACTCATCACTTTTAGTGGAGTGGTATCTGACTCCAATTATATTGTATTATGATGATCATCGAAATATACATGCCTTCAACCCTCCTTTGTAATTATCGACTTCAATCGCGATAGTGAATATATTTCACACAATCTTTGATCTAGATACGCAATCAATGAAACGCAGTGAAGGAAGTGAAATAAAATGAAACGATACACAGTTTAGAAGACGAGTGAGCCAACTCCATTTAACCAAGAGTGAATCGATATTTATAGTCAAATTAAAATAAGTTACAGTTACATAATGAATAGGGTAAGTAAGGAACACACATATGAACACGTAAAAACGAACATGGTTATTGAACAAATAAATGACAATGTGGAAATGTAGCTAGCTTGCTAAAAATGAATAAATTGGTCTGTCCAGAAGCTAGAGTAGCCCATGTGTACTTGACATAATGACAGACCCACAAGCATACACATTATATTCGTACATTGTGTTAAATTACCGAGAACTGGATTTCTAATCGACATTTATCGAATCCCGCGAGCAGGATCGTGGATGCGCACTGCTGAGGAGTCGCACAATAGGACGAAACGGCCGTCCAGTGCTTCCAGATTTTCAATGGTGGTCTAACATCAATCGGTTCATGATTTCAATCAAAAAAACCTAATAATCTCCACAACCCCTATACTAGTAATCAGCATGTGCTCACCAGTGACTAGCTTCTTGAGGGAATTCTCGGAGTTCTAGTGAGAAGCCGTGATCAGTGGAGCTAATCCATGTCGAGTAGAGATAGGTATCTACCTCAGTACAATGGAAGTTGGTCGCGCAATTACGTGGATTGGTTGATGTTAGACACTATCACCATTGGATGCCGGCTCAGTGTTCCAGTAGGTTAAGCGTTCGCGCGCGAGACCAAAGGCCCTTGGTTCGAATCCCGCGAGCGGGATCGTGGATGCACACTACTGAGGAGCCCCACAATATAACGAAATGGCCGTCCAGTGCTTACAGGTTTCCATAGGTGGTCTAACATCAATCAGTTCATGATCTCAATCAAAAAAATTCTATACCGAATTGATCTATAAAGGCGGTTATTTGTACGATGTACGAGGACTATTATTAGATTCATTAATAGATTAAATTTCTGTATGTGTGTCTAGTAAGCTTTCCCTAGTGGTGGTCTAGCTTTATGGCCTATCTCCATGGTGGTCTAGCTTCAATTGACTCATGATCTCATCTATTAAAATTACTATAATATCTACAAAACCCCTTTTGATCTAACAACTGGTTGACTTTGTTCATGTTTTTAAGGAATAACATTCAATTATTTTTGATTATATCTTATCATCCATTAAATAGTTTACTTACTAATTACAGAGACCAGTTAGTAAATCAGAGCACTTAAGTGATTATAGAACTTTTGAGAGTATATAGCGATTTAACAGCGATTGACCAACTGATTAACATTATAATAACATTGATCACATCTTGTATTGACATCAAATTAATGTATTTTAATATATATTACCTGGGATGCTGTATATTATATTTGTATACATTCTATGTTAGTCAACTTATAGTTGTGTTTGACAGACTTTGATTATTTATACAGGAAGTGGTTCTTATTGTTTTACATTTTACAAAAGCGGACTCTTTTATCTTTCTTCTATAAGAGAACTACATTGAATGTGTTTTTTTTCATCTAATCTTATGTTTAATTAGTATAAAATGTTTTGAGATATAATTATAATACTTACATTATCAACTAAATACCAGACATAAGATGAAGTGTGTTAAGTTTAACGTTGATTAACTTATAGTCCTAGTGAGAAGCTTATGACCGATGGAATAAACCAAGTCATGATTGAGGTAATAACTCAGTAATGACATTTGTTGATGAGGTTTGTATCTTCTACAAACCGACTAAAATCAAAGATAACCTATAAACTGATTACTAAGTTCTGTGTTTCCCAACGTCTTGAGTTAACACTGATTTTTGTTATTATCAAGGAATGATGGTTATCCTTTAATTTCTTTTTCCACCTCTTGTCAGCATGTTATTAGCATAGCCTTTAAACATCCAATATCAAACAGACATAAACAACATATAACCTAATATATTTATGCATTGTTACAAGTTGTCACATTATATCAGCACAGAAAGAGATGAAATTATCAAGACAAATGTCACGATTATGGAAGTAATAAAAATGTCAGTTGTACCATAAAATAATAAGCATAAAAAATATTATTCGAGATGAAAGAACGTAATCATGGGATAAAAAGGATTACATTACTTTTTAGACTGAAAGTCTATGGAAATAGGAGTTAATGTGCCTACATCATTGAAATCGATTCTGATAAATATCACCCAATGTTTCAAAAAATTGATCATGATGATCACGCCGATCACAATCAGGTAGTCTACACTTTTAATAACATGGACCAATCTAATAGTCATTCACTTTATGGACAGACTTCACGTTTTGGATTAGTTGGCTCTAGCTTACTTCCAGTCTAGATCTATACAAGCGAACATAAAGTATTGAGATATGCAGTGCTTGAAGAAACATCCAATAATGTATTAAGCTTTACATAAAAATGTATTTGTTTTCGAAGCTACAACACTAGTAGTTTACGATGTGACAGGATGATAAGAAGTTACAAGAATCGATACATGAGTTTGCGAAGATTATGAAGTTTTTGCAAATCCTATGTAATAATCATATGGTCACGAGTTACCAGTGTCTATCACGAGTAATATTGTGAATTATCTTTAATCTTGACAATTACAGGTTCGATTTTGAGTAGATTTACACTAAGACATATTTAAAGTGTTTTTCTAACCAAGTAATGTCATAAAACTTTTCCAAATTATTTCCTAGGTTATGTTTACTCTTTTTGACTGTATAGGATTTAGCCACCTATTTCTTAGAATTCTTCATATCATTAGTATTATACAGTAAAACACGATAGTTTACCTACGTATAGATATTATAAGCAAATAATAACTCACCATTTCCGACTCAATAATCCTACAATAACTGAATCTTTTGTCGGTGAATAACTTCTAAGTTGTTTACACCAGTTGCTCAATGATGAACTAATGTTATTATTATTGATATTAATTTCTGGGGATTGTGATGATTTGGTACCAGACATACTGAAAGACCGGTTCGGCTTCAGCTTACGAATATCCAGTACAACCATATCAATAATCTACGTGGATCATAAAGAAAACAATGAATAGAAAAGTATGCCAAAACATTTGATATCAGCAAGAAATTTCATTGAATCTTTTATTTTTACACCAAAAAAATTAGTAAAATATAATTACATTGATTATGAAATAAGTAGCATTTCGTTTCTTCAATAACTCTTCAAATAGTGTGGTTCGATGTTCTATGTTCTGAGAGAAATCTATTCCTACAATAATCAGTCCTTGAGTAGCAATAACCAGCAATATAGTATGATTTTAAGTTCACAAAGGATATTTTATACTAGAGATTGGTATAAGTGATTATCCAGGTTTCTCAAGGTAAGATAATCAGATAAAAAGAATGCAATGAAATTCAAGTTAAACTCTGTCAAATTATATTCTTCATGGAAAAATATTCCGAAATTGAATATTGTGGCTCCTCTATCACACACGCAACAACAAATGCAGGAGAAAACAACCAGTGTAGCAGCAGCCTCAACAGCAGTAGGTCTCAACATACACAAAAGGAAAAGCAAGATTCTCAGATACAACACAACATGCATCAATCGAATCACACTTGATGGAGAAGATTTGGAGAAGGTAAAAACCTTCCCATGTACAGGCAGCATCATTGATGAATATGATGGATCTCATGTAGATGTGAAAGCCTCGGATTGGCAAAGCAAGAGCGGCATATTTACAAATGTACAATATCTGGAACTCAAAATAACTGTCTGTAAACAAACATCAAAGTCAGAATTTCCATTAGCTATGTCAAGACAGTTCTACTGTATGGGATGGAAACCTGGACAACTACGAAAGCCATCATCCAGAAGATACAAGTGTTTATTAACAGTTGTCCACGCAAAATACTTCGGATCCGTTGGTCAGACATTATCATCAACAACCTACTATGGGAGAGAACAAACCAGATTCCAGTGGAAGAAGAAATCAAGAAAAAGTTCTGTAAGTGTATAGGACACACATTGAGGGGAGCACCGAACTGCGTCACTAGGCAAGCCCTCAATTGGAATCCTCAACGTCAAAGGAAAAGTGAAAGACCGATGAACACGCTACGCTGATAAATGAAGACAGACATCAGGAAAATGAACGAAAATTGGATAGAACTAGAAAGGAAAGCCCAGGACAGAGTGAGTTGGAAAATGTTGTTCGGCGGCCTATGCTCCATTAGGAGGAACAGGCGTAAGTAAAGTAAGAATATTGTGTTTCTTTATGATCTATCAACAATTTATCTATATTTTTTAAGAAATGTAATCATGTCAGTGTATAAAGATTAGTAACCACGTCAAAAACATTAATAGTAAGTCAACCAGCCTATGACCATTATCTTGCACCGATTACAATGAATATGAGTTGTATTAATCAGGTTTTTTCATTATATTTGATATACCTTTCTACTTTAATTAGTGTATATCTAATTATAGTGTCTGTATGCAAAAAAAATGAATTCCCACAAACGAATAACAAGATTTGATCGGGAGAAATTTAATCACCAACATATCAGAAACATAAATACATCCATATAAAGTACAAAGGAATTGAAATTCTAGACATGTATTGATGACGTATCTACGCAGAACAATTAAAATAATGCTAGAACATATGATCTTAAGAAAAAAAAGATCTAAATATATATTTTCTTTTCAATCTAAGCTACAGGTCATGTGAAGAAATGATCAAACCATCAAGGTAATCAATATTTTAATTATCTATCACCAATTTTTAGCTAAGGTTTCAGTTTATTCACTCCACCCTCTGGCCACCCCCATTCTTTGTACTTCACTTCAAAGGATATTTTAACAAAAATCTAAGGTTGACCTTAAATGAACTTGGTTAGTAATGTCCTCATTACCTAAACACTATTAATCCTGTAAAACATTATTGATTTTATTCACTGAAATCATAATAAATTTCATCCATGTTTATCAGAAATGGGTTTTACAAATCAAATCATTTAATTCAAATAAATGATAAAAAGAACAATGATGATACAGAAGAATTTATTTGTTACATGACGACTAAACTAAGTATACATTTGATTAAAGAGACAAACTGATCTTAGTTCGATAACCAATAGAAACCTAAAGGTATTACATAGTGATCTCGTCCTAGTATAGGGTTCCTCAGACGTACACCAGTATCCATCTACAACCTTATATCTGGAAATAGAATACATCATATTCGGCATCACGCACGAGTGATTAACCTTTAGATCACTGAACCGACATTCGACAGTATTGACATCTCATTTCAAACAAATTGCGATAATGTGAGACCGTGTTCTATTGGGTATTGTGGATAACTGTCTGACTCGTGACAAGTTCGGACTTCAATGATTATGGTTTCTCTCTAGAACTCTGGAAATTGTCTTTATTAGTTGGTCATTAGTAATCAATTGATAATTGTAGGTGGGACATTTTTCACGGTGAAACCAAACTTTAGCCATGTAGAAGCAGTAGTAGCTATTACTAACTTTTAATAATTAGATTTAAGTCGCTCATCTTTCAAGGACTTTCATTGAGTCAGAATTCCGTTCGATCATAATCACTATATTGAGTTGACTGCTAATAGATGCATTCAAAATGTTAATATTTCTAAAGTCCACCATGTAGTTTTGCGTGAATAGTTTGATGTGAATGACAAACTTCCTATGACAAATTAGAAGTTATTCCATTATCTCATTTCACATTATATTTCATATAAACCTATCGTTAGTAACTGCATGAAATCTTTAAGGAACCGTTACTAGTCGCGAGATTTGAATCCACGTAACCAATTATCATGGCTGGGTACATTCTCAATAAGTTATTCAGTTTACAACTGACCATTTGTCAAATAGACTTAGTTAAATGAACTTTAATTCTAGTCCTAGTAATTAGTAGTTCATAACATATGTAATGTATATTATTCTAAATTGATTTCTCGGTATAACCATGTCTGCTTCATTATAGATGAATGTGTTTAGTAATATTTTGTAAGAAATGACTTCATTATTTTATAAAGTTAAACAAATATTTATTGGAAGGGGTTTTTGTAGATATTATAGTAATTTCAATAGTTGAGATTATGAGTCAATTGGAGCTAAACCACAATAGAAAACCTCGAATCACTGAACGGCAGTTTTTTCCTATTGTGGGACTCCTCAGTAGTGCACATTCACGATTCCACTTCTCGAGATTCGAACCCAGGACCTATCGGTTTCACGCGCGAAAGCTTTAACTCTAAACCACTAAACTGGCGTCCAATGGTGTTAATGTCTAATTTCAACTAATCCACGAGACTGAACAACACATCCACCATCATCTTCAGTGAATTACTATTTCACAACAGATCCAGTTGAATTCCAAATAGGCGTTCTTTTATCATTTCATAGCAAATCTTATTTATTATGTCTTGTAATTAAACAGTATCTCTGTTAGATGAAGTTTAAACCAGAGATCTTACATTCAACGTAAGTAATATAATAATAAATGAATAAAGAAATAGAATGAACACTTGTCATGCATTTGATCTGGACTAAATAAGGACTTGATACGAATGACAGTGATCACCACCCAGTGATCAATCAATTGTGATTACATCTCCGTCCCACAGGAGGTCAGTCGTGGCTAGGATAGCTCAGTGGTAACGTCTCTGACTGTGAAGCTGCGTGACACGGGATCGAATCCGCTAGCGAGCACCAGTTCCCTCAGGGTTACAGGTACACCTTGCTGGCGAGTGCTAAGTAGCACGAAACCTGTGTCCAGGTTTTCCTGTCGACTAGCTCCAACCACCATCTAGAATGAATACTTGTATATGCCAATAAATCAGTCAGTCAGTCAGTCAGTAACAACGCAAAACTTCGTACGTACGTACATCAGTTCGAGTTGCCACACCACATTAGCACAGAGATACAGTGGTCGATTCAAATCCCGTAGTGGTAGAGGTAGTAAGAGTATAAGCAGTAATCGGAAAGATTAGGGATTGGAGATGTTATTTAAAGAGTATAATCCAGTGAACTAAATTTGGAAAGAGGAAAAAAGGGACATGAAGAATTCAGAAGATTAGAGTTTGGGAGAACACAGAGAGTGGATGCACCTGCGCCATTGCAAACGATTTTGAGCCATGTCATTCAGGGTCTCTAACCATCGATTGCTATCATCTCGCGGACCCCAATCAGGTAGTCTACACCTACCAACATGACTCAGTTCACTTGTCAGTGACTTCATGGACTTGTGCCATGTTTCGGTTTGGCCGCCCCTAGCTTTCTTCCAACCTACTCCTATACCACTGAACATAGCACGTCGAGGCAGTCGGTCGTTGGGCATACGTAACACATGTCCCAGCCATCTCAACTGATGAAGTTTCACTACTTCATCAATTGATTTGCCATCCTTACCTAGTACCCGTTTCCTAACAACTGTGTTACTTACTCGATGGTCCCATGATATATGAGCAATATTTCGAAGACACCTATGATCAAATACTAGTAGCCTACGGATATCCTCTACTCTTTCCAGCCATGTTTCACTGCCATAAAGTAGGACGGAACGAACTGCTGCGCAGTAAACACGTCCTTTGGTTGATAGACGGATATCTCGCCTACGCCACAAATGATGCAAGTTGGCAAAAGCTAGTCGAGCCTTCTGTATCCGTGCTGAGATTTCGTCACACACTAAACCACAAGGGCTGATGAGACTTCCAAGACAAGTGAAGCGGTCGACACACTCAACTACTTCACTCCCTATCACTAGTTCGGGTGTCGATGTAACCCAATCCTGAAGCAACATTTTGCATTTCGAGGGAGAGAATCGCATCCCGAACATGCTTGCATTGTTGATTAGAGTGGTCAGAAGACTCTGCATTTTGTCAGAGTCTTCACCAAATAAAACTATGTCATCTGCATATTCTAAGTCAACAAGTGAATCTCCTGGTAGAAGTTCAACCCCTGGAAATTTAGATGAGGATAGTGTTATCTTTAAAAGTATGTCGACCACAAAGTTGAACAAGAATGGGGAGAGTGGACAGCCCTGACGAACACCACTTGAGGTAATCAATTCTGATGACAGTTCGCCATAAGCTCTCACTCTACCAGGTGTGTTCGAGTAGAGAGCCTGTATAAGGTTAATGTACTTCTTTGGTACTCCTTTCAGTGACAAACACTGCCATAGAACCTCACGATCAATAGAGTCGCATGCCGCCTTAAGGTCGAGAAATACTACCATTGTGGGGCGTCTGAATGTGTTTCTGTGTTCTAGAACCTGAAGTAGTGTGAATATCTGATCTATACAACCACGTCCAGGTCGAAAACCAGCCTGGTTTTCTCTAATCTGCTCTTCACGAGCTTTGATTAGGCGTCGAAGTATTATTGAAGCTAATATTTTAGACACTATATTAGTCAAACTGATTCCTCTGTGATTGTCACAAGAGGACTTTTGTCCTTTCTTATAAACTGGCACAATCAGTGATTGAGACCAGTCAGATGGGATTACATTCAGTTCACAAATTCTACCTAAGACCTCGGTTAATTTCATTGCTAATACTGGACCACCATCCCTAAAAATCTCAGGAGTAAACCTGTCAGGGCCTGCTGCTCTCCCTCGTTTCAGATTTCCTATGGCTTTTTCAACTTCGTAAAGGGACGGAGGACTTACATTAACTTGCCATTCAGGTTGACTAGAGATCGTGGGAAACCGAAGTGTGGCTGAAGGCCAGTTGAACTGATCCCTAAAGTGTTCTGCCCATCGATCCAATCTCCTGGATTGAGAATGAATAATATGTCCATCTTTCTCTGAGATTGTTTCGCTAACGGTCGGGTTCCTAATTCCGGTTTCCTTAACGAGTCTGAACAATTGTCTGCTATTACCTATTGCCGCTGCCTTTTCCATCTCTCTTGCTTTCGCTACCCACCACTGTTCGCGATCATTGCGTAGACTTCTTGTCAGCTTGTGCTTAAGCTGACTCCGCTCTTCATTATGTTCAGAGCCAGGTGAAATGAGTTTCCGAGCATCTATCAGTGCGATAGATGCTGCTGAGATCCAGTGTTGCTCCCTAACCTTCTGGTTTACCTTACTAGCAGATATCACTGCTGTTTCCACAGCTTTTCGGATATCATTCCATGTTGCCTCAGGGTGGGCATCACATACATGGCTGCCTAACTGTTTTCCTAGTTGTTCCTGAAATATACTCTTAGCTTGACTATCATTAAGTAGGCCCCTAAGAGGTTTCCTTGCAGCGTCTTTCCTACGTCCAGTAAGACGCAAGCAAATACGCGCTCGCACTAGAGCATGATCTGAATCTAGGCATGTGCTCCAGAATGAGCGACAGTCTTCTATCGAGCCCCCCCATCGGTGGCTGATAGCGATGTGATCTATTCGGCTCCAACGTTGGGACGAATTAGGGGGTCTCCATGTTAAAAGATGTTTTTCCTTATGTTTAAAGTTAGTACTTGTAAGGAACAGGCGGTTATCTGAGCATAGCTGCAACAGACGGTCGCCATTATCTGTTCTCTGAGCCACGACACCATAAGATCCACCTAGGTGTCTTTCCCTATCGCTTAGTTTACCTACTTGAGCATTAAAGTCACCGGCCACTATTACTACATCCGAGCGCTTAGCTTTTCGGAGAAGGTCAGAAAGCTTTCTGCAGAACTCATCTTTTACATCATCTGAGCTGCAGTTAGTGGGAGAATAGGCAGAGATGACGAAGAGGCAACGACGAGTGTCCCTATCTTTCCGGATTCTTACTGTTCCGTTCAGTCGGACAGCGCACAAACCACTGTCTACTGGGATCCACTCTAAGAGAGCTAGTTCTGCCCTAGGACTCAATGCTATGCCTACGCCGGCGAGGCCACGGGAAGCAGAATCAGGGCTTCCAGATACACGAAGCGTAAATCGAGTCGGTTCTTTATTTTGGCATGGTGAGGTCAAATGAATAACGCTACTTGGATCCTGTATGCGCGTTTCGGAGACGCAGCACACATCGATGGCGCGAGATTCTAAAGTTTTAGCTAAGGAAGCCTGCTGTCCTATTTGGCAAAGTGTTCGTACGTTAAAAGCTCCTACGTGTAGTTTAGAGCGTGGTTTCAGGAGACCAGGAATGGCGTTCCACGTACTCGAATCGGTTGCCCTAGCAATGCGAGGTGATGAAGAGACGTGAGGAGGGTTAGTCGGGAGGATAAGAGAGGTATTAGGAGGTGTAGAAAGGATTTGAATGTGACCACCTTGGTCTCTTGTGTTGTTACGGGTATGAGGGCTGATGTCACTTCCCGGCTGCCCACACCGTGGAAGGGTATTTCTTGAGGAACCTGAAAAGGAAATTGGATTAGTGTTGGTCTTGACGACCTGGGAGCGTGACCGCAGAGCCCAAGGGACAACTGCTTGAGGCCGGTCGCGCACGGCGTTTTTGTGGAAGGTTTTTGACGTGTTAGCTCTGTTCTTCAAGGGGCCTTACCGCCGGAGACGGAAATCCGTGAGGTAGGGTGAGGTGTGCATTTTTAGGGTCGACCTTTTCTAACCCCACCCCTCCTTGTGGGAAGGCAGCATCGCTGTAGATGCTGGTTGTCCGAGGGAAACACCTTACTGCTGTCACACCTCTCTACACTCAGCAGTACGACTTCGCCCTCAGACCTTGAGTTGCTGCTTTTAGTCTTACCGTTCACCAATCGACCTGCCTGGCATGGTAGGACCTTGAGGAACGGTTGTTCCAGCCAGTATAGCTCGGTTGCTTCATCACGATAGGCAAGCCCGACCACCACGTCAAGGTAGCAGCTTCGATCTGGATGCCAGTAAATACAGTAATATCGAGAGAGAGAGAGAGAGTAGTACTAACCTGTTGTACATCAATAAGCTTTTCATTAATAATCTTATCTATATCCTTTATTGTTGTATCCTGTTTAATTGTATTGATCAATGTACAATTATGTTTTAATTGTTGAGCTGCATCAATCATTAATTGAGTTTGTTTATCAGCCTGTGAAAATATTAATACAATCTGAAAAAAACAAAACAAAACAAAAACCATAAAAGTATTCATGTATAAATAGATAAATGTTCATGATAAATAAAATGCTTTACTATAATTATAATGAGAATTCATGTATTCAATGAGATATTCCCTTATGATTGTATTAGTTATAAGTTAAATAAAAGCTGGTTTGAATTACTTTTTTCTGGTTAGTGTTCTATTTATGGCAAGTTTGTTTTCTACAGGATGGGATTGTTAACCGCATGCCCAACTCTCCTCTTTTATTCGAGCTTAGAATCGGCAGTAACCATAGCCTCTAGTCGGAGTGGAATCCTCATGGCCAAAAGGAGAAGAGAAAAACCAATGAACACATTACACCGAGAAATAAAGACAAATATGAACAAAATGAACAAACATTGGATGGAACTAGAAAAGAAGGCTCAGGAAAGAGCGGGTTGGAGAATGCCTATGCTCCATTGGCAGTAATAGGCGTAAGTAAGTAAAGTAAATAAAAGCTATACTTGAAATATGTTTTAAACATAAATGCTTGTAAACAAGAAGGTATAATGATATATATATAGTAGAGCTCAGTAATGAAAGGACTCAACTCCGCCTGTGGCTCTTCCAGAGTTACTGCCAGTCCCAAGCCCGGGTAAAGGAGGAGGGTTGGGCATGAGGTTAGCGTCCCCATCCCGTAGACAACTAACTGGCTAAAAAAACGCTTACCAGAAAAGAATGAAAGGACTCAGATTTTAATCAGTAAATTTTAGGGCTTTTCTATTATTTCATTTTCATCAGTTTATGAATCATTACAATATTACTAACCTTCAAACCTAAAGTATGGTTCAAAGTCGACTAAAATAATCTGTACTTAATAAATGAATTGAATAATTATCATTATTATCTATTTGATCAGAGAATTAATCATTGCAAAATGTTCAATACTTTTCAAGTTCATAAAGTAAACTATATGAATTGAATCAGTATGAATATACTTATGATAACAGATTTCTACCTGTTCAAAGATCACTGGAAACTAGATTATCACGAACGATTACTATCTTAATTGACAAGTCTAACACTTTAAAGCTTACAACACATTGTAAGACATGCACCGTATTACTTGTCAATTCATCTTGAAACATTTCTTGATCAGCATAGAATGTTGTTAACATAATGAAATTTACATAAATTTTAAACATCAAGTTAGTCTTAATTAGAACACAATTTAAAACTTAACAAAATTGAACGATTGGATACCGATTCATGGTTCTAGATTTTAAGCGTTCATATGCCATCCAAATCGGAGGTATTTAGGTTCTATGCCCAAATACCGGGTTGTCAAGAGTTTCATACTAAAATGAAACGGTCATCCAATGATTTCAATTGATGGAGTTTTGTTCTCCCAGCTGGATGGTTTGGTCGTGGAGCTTTCATCATTCTTCTGAACGACATCATCAGGACAAACTTCAAATAGAAGTGAAGTGTTCGAAGAAAACAATGACAAATTTAAGGTCAATAAGAACTAATCAACGTCAAGGTGTATAGAACGAGCTGTGATAATCATATGGAGAAATTCGAACACTTCATTTCTATCTGAAGTTTGTGCTGATGATGTCGTTCAGAAGAAGAACGATAAAAGCTCCACGATCAAACCATCCAGCTCAGAGAACAAAACTCCATCAAAATCATCCACCTGAGCTACAGATCTTCTGCACCATCTCAATGGTTTCAACTTTCCAATGGTGTTCTAACTGAGAATAATTCCTGATATTTTGGTCAGTTTAGAACGAAAAACTATTTTTGGTTTTCTCTCATACTATTATGATTGAATATAATATAGTGTATATAACAGGCTCCAAATTGTAATGTAATGATATCTTCTTCCTCATTATAAGTATCATTCTTCTAGATTACATCATTCATTTAAAACATTACTAACATATTACTTTTAGTCACATTGAACATAGACTACTTAAAGAAAGTAGGTTATTTAAATATATAATCAATAATTATGACAAGCAACTAGTACATTCAAGTATTATATTTATATACATGTGTATACATGCATGTATACCTATTCCCCCTCCCCCACCCCAACGGTAACGAATAATAATAATAAATTGTGTGGTTATACTAAAAGTTGCCAACTGTCAAGAATATATTTCAAAAAGAGAGTGAATTAAAGAGTTAAACTAATGAATAGACATCTTTATCGTGTATCCTATAAAACTGTTTATCGATTATCGATGTATTGTCAGTTTATTCACTGAATAAGATAAACATTCGAAATGGGCATTATATTGACATTGTAGATTGATCGTATATGAAATATGAATGTATATGTACGTTTTTTTCTTTTTATATAACAAATAAATTTGTTGGAATGATAATAACTATTATGATAAGTTAGCTAAAAATAAGCAGAATACTCAGTCAGTTAGGTACAATAAAGAAACAAGCACATATATATATGCATCGGTTCAAGTTGCTATACCTCATTAGCATAGCTAGATGAACACTGGATTCATAGAAGTAATTAATTCAGTGGTGGTAATACATAAAATAAAGATTTCATATAAAGATAGAATACTACAGGAAATATATGCCATTTACTAAATACACGGAGGGTAAGAAGTAAAAAGATTTTCTGGAAATCGACTATATGATAAGATTATTTTTAGACAGTTCTTCAAGGAACATCCTAGAATATTAGCACCAAAATAATCAGAAGAAGAGTATATCTTCCTGTAAGTTTCATTGCATATGATGGCACAAATATCTCTTCTGGGGATATCTGAAGTAATAAAGACCCTGGTAATTCAATAAATACTTTCTTCCCTTAAATATAGATTGATCTTAAATGAAAAGCTTGATTTGTATTCTTGGTTTCTTTTATCGTCCGAGATTAAAAAGTAGAACCTAGCCGACAAAACATGAAAAAGGATCTCATTAAGTTTATTGCTTATTTGATAGATTTTCTGGTTAACGTTCTTTTTTTAGCGGGTTAGTTTTCTACGGGACGGGGTCACTAACCCTATGCTCAACCCCTTTTCGCATTTATCCCAGCTTGGGGCCAGCCGGAGACCCAGAGGGGCTCCATGTTTTTTTATCTGATAGATAGTGATACAATATAAATTACATGAATGTTTATAATAAATTTCGAGATGGGGAAAGAGACTAATCACTGTAAAATGTAAATTTCAGTTTGTAGCATTTTACTCTCACAATTTAAAGATATAGAAATGGACAAAAACTGACTGATTATTAGAATATGTACGGAAACTAAGTGACCATCATTTTATTACATTCCAATGTAAAAAGTAACTTTATTAAATACCAAAAGACACTAAACACGTATTTATTACTAGTTCTGTCTTCTTCCTTGCAATCTTCACCTATTGTTCTGCACTGAGTAAAACTGGACAAATAAGCCGAATAGCCCATTTTGAAACGATTGATTCACATTTACAGTTTAGCTCATAGCAAAATTTGCCGTTGGAGAAATAGGGTAATACACAACACTAGACATCATTCAAAAAAGAAAGAAAAACACTGCCGCAGTTAACAACACTCTAACAAGAGCATAAAAAGTCAAGGTATAAGATGAATACACAGAAGCAAACAACCAAATGAAGAGGAGCATTAAAGTCTATAGGGAGAAATACGTGGAAGAGCTAGCAATAACAGTGAAAAAAGCTGCAACAGGAGGAAATACGAAACAACTATATATCTTAACGAAGAAACCCGAAAGGAAATATGGTAAACCAGAGAGACCGGTCAAGCACAAAGAAGGCAAGGCAATCACTGAGACTAAAGAACAATAGAACATATAGGTAGAATACTTCGAGGAACTCTTGAATAGACGAGTTTCGTTGAATCCACCGGCTATAGAGGCAACACACACAAACCTTTCTATAGCTACCACTCTACCTACGATTGAGGAAATCAACATGTTCATCAGACAAATTAGGTTTGGGGCAGCAACAGGACCTGACAATATAACGGCTGAAGCACTGAAGTCAGACCTAGAAGTAACGGCAAAAATGATTACCGTTCTATTCAAGAAGATTTGGAAAGAGGAACAAGTGTCGATGGACTGGAAAGAAGGAGTGAGCCAACTCCATTTAACCAAGAGTGAATCGATATTCATAGTCAAATAAAATACGTTACAGTTACATAATGAATAGGGCAAGTAATGAACACATATATGAACACATAAAAACGAACATGGTTATTGAACAAATAAGTGATAATGTCAAAATGTAGCTAGCTTGGTAAGAATGAATAAATTGGTCTATCTAGAAGCTAGAGTAACCTAAACGGGCTTGCCATGGTACCGGCCACTACAATATATATCTCCGATTTCATTTGTATCTGATCACCATGGTAAACTAAAAATTCTGCCGGAGATCGAACTTTGAACATTCATGACCTGAATAGTAAGCATATTACTGAAACAGCATTTTTTTTGAAAAAAACCCTTTTCTCTTTTATAGGTCTCATTACCAACGGTTGATTTGATAATTTCGAATAAATTGAGCATTGGGTAGATTGTTATAAATAAATAATATATTTGTAATATCCCAATGAGTAGAAAAATTTGGTTTTCTGATGTTTCGTAACTTAGTGTAAACTATTTCTTCAATTGAGACATTTATTTCAAACAAATCGTTTTGAAAAAAAGTAAAAAATCAATGGATCGGTTCATTTGGTTACTCATTATGAGCTGTGTTTTTTCGTTGTTGTTATTTATTTATTTATTATTTATTTTAACACATAGATATTGGTACAAGGAGGCACCAAATAGATATGCGCCACATAAATCATTCGATTTGTGTGAGGGCTGTGATACTGCCCGGATGCGCAAACCTAAGCAAGTGATTTTCTTAGGGGGCCACACCCCGAGCCTTTGACCTAAAGGTCTAACTTACAAGGCAGTGGAGCATCGTGAGGAGATGTAGTCCCATGGTAGCCGGTGACCAAAAGTTGGTTAATACGCCATTTTTTCCCGCAGGATACTGGAG